CCCCCCCCCCCCCTTCTCATTTACACATCTACGTTCATGATTTTAAATAAGCCACTACACATTTGTGGTTCACCTTGTTTTTAAGCAGCGAGGTGTCAGGTTCAGGGAAAGGATGCGTGCGCTCTTCCACTTCTTCCTCCAACAAATATCCCAGAGTCCCCTGTTGAGCAAAAAGGTCCACAAAGTGCAATGTCAGTAAAGGTCCCACAACAAGGGCTTGTAGCAACAACTGCTGCCACTTAAGCAACAACACTATCTACAGACAGAGGTACATATCCCTCAACTTAGCCACAGAGGAGAGTGTAGATCATGAAAAGGGGCACTGCTAATAATGCACTATGACTATCACAACAGTAGAGTTGCTGCCAGAATATTGTTTTTTTTGAAGTATTGTTAGGATTATACGTTTGCACTTAAAATAACTTAATCTAAAAAATAAAACATTTGATCGCACCTTATACCCCAATGTTTTAAAAACAGAGACAGACCTGTGTGATATGTCTAACGCCAATGCAAGTAGACAAACACATCTTAACAACAACAAAAATATATCCTAAGAAAAGCTTAGTAGTCCTGAACATCACAGGGAAGTCTAACGTGACAATTTTAGCAGTTGGCATAGGTATATCAAGCAGGCTGTGAGTGCATCTCAGCATCAAAAAAGTGTCCCCCTGAAATGTCTATATAGAGCCCTTTTCACCAAACATATTTGAAAGGTAGCAAAGAAACACAATAAAAACGTATATACACATTCAAGCTTTCAAGTTCATGTTCTGGAGAAGTACAGAATTCTTTTTTTTTTCTGACAGGCAACAGCATTCAGAAATGGATGTGGGTAGAGAAAGGAGTACCTGGGGTGAGTACCTGCACAGTTTGACAGTCAGAGAGTATCCATGATTTTTAATTTGCCCTTTTCTCATGTGGTCTCGCTCACAACACCAACGCTGTGTGAGGTATGGAAGTCAGCTGCAATTCATTTGATAAACCCTACCCTCCAGTTAGTAAGTTAAGTAAGGCCCCCCGGTGCTTTAACACCCCCCCAAACACACACTGCATGGCATTATCAGGCACAGTAAGCTGGACAACAGATCCATGGCATTTGAGGTATGACTACGGCAAAAATAAATGGCTTGTGTTTTAACATAATACTTCTATAGCTGAAAGTATGTGTGGGTTTACTTATTTCTGAATTTCTCTTCAAAAATGACTACATTTCTCGACTGAAAAGTAAAAAATTAAAGAAAAACAGGTAAATACAGGCAGGAAAATTGGATTTGACTGGTTAATCGTGATTCTGTCGTTTGTCCAGAGACAAATAAACATCTATAAGGATCAAAAACCGATATACAAAACAAGGGGTACCTCCAGGCATGTTTGCTCAGGGCTACACTGGCCTTTCCCTCTGGGCTTTGTGTGAATGTTTTCTGTTACTTTCTTCTCATTCATCGGGCCTAGTTCTTCATCTTCAGTGCATACTTATGATGCACAATTCAAAAACAGGATAAAGATATATGTACATAAGACAAAATCATAGGAATTGAACTGAACGTAAACAGGGTGGGAACGGTAGGGTGGGGGGGTGGGTAGGGGAGATGGGACAGGTGGGAAGGGTTTTAGAGCCAGGGGGGAGCGAGGAGGAGGACGCACTTACCTGAGCCTGATCTGAGGTCCTATCAGATCAGTTTTAATTGGACTGAGTGTCACCTTCAGAATGGAGGAGCTCTTGCTGGCCGTTAATCTGAGGGGGGGCGGGGGCCGCCGACTTTTTCTCCATCGGTTCTGGTTCGGACGAAGCCTTAATGGCAGCTGCATTGCCGTCAGAGTGCTTCTCTTTCTTAGAGCTGCTCCTCTCCTCTGTCACCTTACGGTCTGAGAAAACATTGTACAGGTCTATCAGAAATCTGCACACTGAGACCCAACACCCCACAGTAAGGACGGGCCCCGGGGCTGAATTATTAAAGACCGTGGTACCGTTAAGCTCCGACGTTATCGGTCTTTTTATCGGTACTGGAGACATCTAACAAATATGTCTATGTATTATTGTTACAATATTATTATTGCTCTCTTCCCCGTCTGTGTGCGAGGGGGCGGGGCAGTTTACACACACACAGCTGCTACATGCAGCAACAAACAGACACGGCGGAGGGAACTAAGCGCTCCAAGGTGTGGTTAAACTTTACCCGTCTCGATGTGGACAATGCTCGTTGCCAAAAGTGAAATAAGAGTTTAGCATGTAAGGGCGGTAACACGAGCAATTTGTCTAAACATTTAGCAAAAGTGCACCACATTCAGACGGAGGAATGCACCGGGTTCGACTGTCTTGCTAGTAGCTCTGTAGCCCCCNNNNCAAAAGTGAAATAAGAGTTTAGCATGTAAGGGCGGTAACACGAGCAATTTGTCTAAACATTTAGCAAAAGTGCACCACATTCAGACGGAGGAATGCACCGGGTTCGACCGTCTTTCTAGCAGCTCTGTAGCCCCATCCACGAGTAACTTTTCCACGTCAGGTGTTATGTATGCTAGCAGCAACACACAGAGTTAACTACAATTATACAAACATGGGTTAATGATTAGAGGTAACTTGAGTTATTTATTTTGTTAAAGTTTCAGCTATTCTGTTTACAGTTCTGTCATCAGATTATTTCATACGATTCGTTAAAACGTTGTTTCTTTTGATGTGAAATATTATGTATTATTTAATCTAAATAAAAAGTGTTAATTTTGTTCACAATTAGTTTAATCTCATTTTTCTTTCCAAAAGAACCGATAAAAGTACCGTTTAAAGACCGGATCGATAAGCGGTATCCACAAAAGTAAGTAGTACCGTTAAAACCTTAACGATACCCATCCCTACCCTACAGTGGGACTAAGAGGGCAACGTAGCATGTAGTCAAATACAAAACACGTCCTCACCTTTGTCTTTCGATGACCGCTCTTTGTCCCTGTCTTTCTTCTCCTCCCTGTCCTTGTCCTTGCTGCGGCTGCGGTGGCGGTGAGATTTGCGCTCTGCGCTGCGTGACCTCTTCCTGTCACGACTGCGGGAGCGACGCTTTCTGTCGGTGCGCTCACGACTGCGTTTCCTCTCCCTGTCCCGGCTCCTAAAAGAAGAGGCAGAGGTTATTAAATCAAAATGACACACAAAGTTGTCTATGGTCAATGATTGCAAATATCAGTTTATAATATGTTTGATAGCAGAGGCATCTCATTAATACATAGGAACCTTTTCTTTTTTTCCACCTCACTACTGGTGGAAAAGATGCCTTTATATGACAATTTACATTTAAAATGGTAGATATAAAATAGGCGTTTGTTTTAGTCAGCCATACCTGCTGCGCTTGCGTTCCCTCTCCCTCTCCTTGTCTCTGCTCCTGGAGCGCCGGCGATCTCGGGACCTGCTCCGCTTCCTGTCCGATGCTCGGCTGGAGTTGCGACTGTTGGAGTTGCTTCGGCGTGTCCTCCGGTCCCTCTCTCTGTCCTTGTCTCTATCTCTGTCCCGCTCCTTGTCTCTCTCCTTGTCTCGCTCCTTCTCGCGCTCCTTCTCTTTTTCCTTCTCCTTTTCACGCTCTTTCTCTCGCTCTTTTTCCTTCTCTTCCTCCTCTTTGCGCTTTTTCTCCCTTTCCTCCCTCTCATGCTCGCGGTCTTCTCTGTCCTTCTTTAGCGCTGGGTTTTCATCTTGGGGTTCCTCTGAGCGACGGCGAAGTTTCTCCTGAGAGAGAACAATCAAAGCATCATGTATTTGATATCATTTTCAAACTGACCCCTTCTTGTTGTAATAACATGGACCCAAACGTGTGTACTGCACATCGTACATTATGTTTGTATTGCTTATGACATGTTATCCTGTTACCTTGAGCTCTTCCACAGTGGATTTGATCTTGGCGTAGCCCATGTGTTGCTTGCCCATCAAGTGGTCGTCTACCCTGGACTGTGCGTCGCCCACAATGAGGAAGGCCCCACACACCTCGCACACCTCCATTTGTTTCTCTTGGGCTGCAAAGCTCTCGATGGTCTGGATAAAAAATACAAACATTACGTTATATGGACTGTGATAGGTCTAGAATCAAAACTGCTCGTCTTATTTCGCACAGATTTGATCACCTATATAAGAAAGAAAGATGTTTGCCAACAGACATCATTACATGACCAGTGCACACTATCTGTGGGCCGATTTGCTGACTCACCGAGGGGGTGGAGGTGATCAGCTCCCTCTCGTCCTTTAGCTGCTCCACCAGCTTCATCATTCCCTGGGCCTCCTCCACTCTGCCCTCCGACCCCAGCTCCTCAATCTGCGCCAGAGAAAAACTGTTTGTTTAAGGTGATATGTGACATAATTAAGTGCATCCTATTTACATTTTCAAATTACTATCTATGATTAATATTTACTAAACAATTATAGGTATATCTACATATTTGTTACAAACCTGCAAAACTAGGTCTTCAATTTTTTCTGTAAGAACCTGACCCTTCTCGTCATTCTTTCCTGTTGGACCAGGACCCTGAAGAGATGAATACAATGTATCTCAGGTTAAAAAACACATCCGAATATATCCACTGCACTGCAAGAGGACAGAAAGCTGTACTAGGTACAATGTGCATAACATGTGCCTATGTTTATGAGACCGGGGCCACAACGACACAATAAAGTGATAAGCATGGGTTACATAATATGCAAAAACAAACGTACACATACCCCTGCATTCTGCTGAGCCTGCGAAAGTGCAAGACGGGCGTGCCCTCTACGAATCCGGCGTTCCACCTCTGCCAAGAGGGACTGCAGATAGCGTAGGAAGTCCCGCTCATAGCCCTCCTTCATGAACCTAGAGCTTTTCTCATACCTGAACACAGTGTGATATAAGTAGATTATTAAAAGGAAATTAAAAAGACACACAGCACTTGTGTTGTGAGAAGCATGATCAAAACTTACGTGATTCTAAGATTTTCATCGTGGATTTTTTCACAAGGGCCTGAAAAAAAAAAAATAGCAAAGTGTTATCTTCCAATATGTCAGAGGCAGCTATTCCTACATTACAACACACGCATATGGGTACATGTTAAAACGTTAACTTACCCAGGTCAGAGCGGGTGTTAGTGAATAGCTCAGCCGGGCAGAAGCCGCATAGGTAGTATCTGCATACCTTCTTGAAGGAGAAACACATTTGTGTTATTACATACAAAATTATTCTTAAAATCTCGCTTACGTTAGAGTTAAATCTGATCAGGTCATGACGTTGTACTTATGCTAACAAGGAAGAAATTAGCCCTGCAAGGCTGTCATTACGTGGATTTAACACGTTCTTACTATGTCTCAAATTACCAGTAAGATACACTGACTAAAGCAGGGCATATCGATAATAATGAGTAAAACAATAACTAACTCGGAGCTAAATGTGGCAACAGTTACAATCACGTTATCTACAACGTTTTGACGCCGCATTGTGAAGCAATGAAATGCAGTTAGCATTAGCAAACTCTGCTGCTAATTTTACGAGTGCCTGGCCAACACTCAAAATGCCAGTTGACGCAATCAAATCGTATGATACCGTAAACATATGGACTAACCACACCTTGCCAAATCAAGCTAACTCCGATATAATAAGATTAACGGATTTTTTTGACTACAAACGGTTTGCTAGCTATCCAACTTGCTAGGCTAGCGCTAGCCAATATGCTAACTTACGGTCTCATCGTCCCATCGCACGTTGGATCGCTTCTCGTCAGGGGCCAAGTTTCTATCTCGGCCCATTAACTCATCGAGTAACTGGGCTGCGGAAAGCATTTTGCCCACAAGACTGTAGCCTTGATTTAAAGAAGGCTACTACAATATCTCGTGAAGTAGCTTTAACTTAATTCTAATCAAAATGGCAGACGCTGTAACAACGCCGCCCGTTTATGGTTCATCTAACGGTAGTCCGGCAGCAGCCCTGCAGTATATGAACCGGAAGTACATGTTTAATGTTTTAATGGAACACACGTTCATATTTCATGAGCAAATTGTATATCCTCCTTTTTCAATTGTGTTAACTTAAATGGATAGTTCACAATCAGCTATTTCATATGTGTAAACGTACCATATATCTCTAATTAGAAATATGTATTATATTAATCCACATGCCTATAACAGGGTTGACACAGCCACCAAAGCATAAAAAAAAATAGTCACTAAATACAAGTTCCAATAAATGTATTTTGAAAGTGGCCACTAGATGGCGGTCACAATTGCAATACATTTCCAAAGTTTACGCTTTATGATAGAGGAGTTGCCCTCCAGTGGTCAAATGATGGAACTGCATTAGTGCTAGCTTTACTGAGTTTTATTTTAGCATTCATATTTCTTTCAACCCTTTCTTTCTTCAGTTTAGCTGGAAGACCATTACAAACTAAATACATCTATGTTCATTATTTTTGAGAACTGTATTTTGAAAATATTTACTGCAAATATTAATATAGTCTATATTACATCATGTCTTCATTTTCCATCGATAATAAAATAAGAGATTGATCCGAGAGTGAGGCTTGACAAATTGTATGTTTTGCAGTTCCTTGATGTGGTCACAGGATAGCTACAATTAGTTAATACCATGGTTAATACCTTTATATATACAGTCTGGTTAATACGTGTACTTAAAGAGAGCATCGCTGTGTACTATTAGTACTTCCGGGGATTATTTTCAAAATAAACCCAGAAAGCCGAATAAATCTTGAATTTATTTTTAAGCGTTATTTTTTCTCTCAATTAAGTGTTCCGAATTAGGGACTTCACGACTCTACATTTTTCCACGGTAATAATACAGATATAAATATAATTGAATGTGTCTTCTGCGTACATGGTCCATAATGTATTAGATAAGCAACACGTTGTTGGGTTTTTTAGTGGGATCTACAAATATTTTTGTGGGACTAATAATGCAACATTTGGATTAGTATACCGATTGAATGTATCTGTTTTCTTTCTGATACAACAGAACACACTTAAAGTATAGCAGCACATAACACATATAAATAGAACATACAATAAAATAATAATAAAATATAATTACATTTTAAAAAGCAGTGGGGTACATATCATTCATAGATATAAGCATAATTAGACAGCTGCTTCAGTGAAAAAGTTCCAACATTTTTCTTTCAACAATGTTGCATTGCTACTGACAGCCCAGACCCAGCCCTGTGTGTTAATAGCAGTGATTTCATCTTTGATGTCTCAGTTATTTCATCAATGACGAGAACTCAGGCTGGATACTATCACCTATTTTACATAAAGTTAAGTGGCACTAAATGTGTTAGATAATTGAGAGTATTCAGAGCGGAACTAAAGTGTTGTGCTTGCAGTTGTTACATCTAAACATGCCCCCCGATGAGGCGGTGATGCTTTCTGCAGCCCACTGACGGAGCTCTGACACCACTGATGGATGCATGCGTGTTGGCAATGGTGTTTTAATGTGAAATAACAACGGGGATAAATGGAGAGGACGGAACCTGCAGTGTAAACGCCAAAGACCTAACATAAAGTTGCATTTATCCGACGTGCTGCCAAAAGCTAGCACCAAAGACTGCTAGCTCCTCGTTAAGCTAGCCAGTAGGTAAGGTTAGCCGGGTGGCTAGTGCTAGCTTGCACGTCTATTTTTAGTGAAGCTCTTTGCCATTAGTGGGGAAATCCATTGGCAATTAGTTTTGTCAACTAAATCCGCCAGGGTTTTGTGTTTCCTTTGATCTCGCAGCGTTAGTTGTCTGTTCCAAAATGTCTACTATTTCGTTGGATAAAGAGTTACAGGAGCGACTGAGAGAGGCGTCTGCCATCGGGGACATCGACGAAGTGCGGACACTGGTGGAGAGTGGAGTGAATGTTAACTCACAGAATGAAATAAATGGCTGGTGAGTTTTTGGAAGATGTGCTCTTGAATACGTTAAGTTAAGATGTAATGTTTAATTCACACATTTGTAATACTTATTGATGACAATCTGGTATTCAGTGCGGACAAGTGTGTTGTTACAGGGATTAACGCTGCTCAGTGTTATCTTATTAGGCAGAGAAAGGCTTGTCAGGCAGCCAGACATGCAACCTTTATCCTGCCTATTCAAACAGCAAATACGTGCCTTGTGAGCTAGTGTTTTGGAATGCTGTGAATTATAAATTATTCTAATAATCTCAAACAACAATAACTATGGATTTACTAAGTACATTTTAAAGAAAGGTACATTGGCACATTGCTTGCTCCAGCCATGAAATTGCCAAGCCTCTTCTGATTCAGATTGTTAGTAAATAACTTTATTGACTTTAATAACATATTACCAACATAATACAGTTGACTTGTTTATGTGAGATCCAAACTATATTATTATAAATCATTATAAAATATTTCACATGCAGTGCACATTTTGTCAGGACATAAATACATTTAAAAACATGTGTAATCTGCTCTTCAGTTCATTCGAGATTCCAACTTGCTTATGTGATGATAAATGGAGCTCTATAAATGTAATTCTCCCAATGTCTCCAGTATTGATCCTCTAGTAAACTTTGTCATTTAATCAGCATTTTTGTTGTTGTTTTGGTTTATTAAACTGTGACCTCTTTCTATCCAATTTCCCCACCAGGACATGTCTGCACTGGGCATGCAAGAGGAACCATAAGCACATAGTGTCCTACTTACTCAGTTATGGGGCAGACCAGGAAATCCTCACGGCTAAAGATGAGTTGGCCTCGCAACTTACATCTAAACCAGAGATCAAGCGACTTTTAGGAGGTAAACTACACCTGTTTTACAGTCTTGTTCCCTGTTCTTCCCACACCGTTATGAAAGTTTCCAGTTGTTACTTTCCTGGGGTTTATCAGCTGCATACACAGTCCTTTTGATACCTTGATGTAATGTACAGGTTATTACACCTGATATAGGTTGTCTAGGTTTCGGTTATTAATAACCTTTTTTCTATGCACATTATTTCCACAGTTGAAGTGGAGGAGGAGCCGGAGGTCAAGGAGTCTGAGCTGCCAATCATCCCAAATTACCTGTCTAGCCCGGCCTTCATGTTTCCAAAGCTTGACAACAAGTCAGAGATCCTCCTGGCACAGCACCTTGGACAGAACGGTTCAGCAGAAGACACCGAGGACATGCACAGCGAATCATCATCCCTTTCCCCAACTCCGGTGCTTGACCAAACCCAGCTATTAGATGGGCCCAGTCCTCCACCAATCCCCACCAACCACAACCAAGCCCTGCCTGAGGAGTTCCTACCTGTGACTGGGGAGTTCATACCTGTGACTGAGCAGAATGGCATTCCACCCAACTCGGCCTCGTCCCACAGCCCTACAACAAATGTAGTAAACTGCACAGTGCCCATGGACCTGTCAGTTGAGCCGCACCTGGTTAACCATGCAGAGTACCCACACGCACTGGCACACAATGGCACCATGTGCTCTCCTCCTTTGGCCTCCCCCAGCCCCAGCCTGGCCAGCAGCAGTGGGAGCCAGGTCCAGGCCCCGGTGCCCGGCTCTAACCCCTCTATGAGCAGACAGCAGTCCATCTCTCAGCAGCTCAACCACAGCCAGGCCGGTGGGCCCATGCCAGCCTTCCAGCCGTTCTTCTTCACCAGCACCTTCCCTGTCGACGTGCAAGGTGAGAGACTCATCGTGTGTTAATGTCCGTCCACACATACAGATCACAACCTATCATGGCATAAGTACTTTAAGTAGTAAGATGACTCTGTCCTAAAGTGAAACGCCAACCAGCACCGCTTGATAACATTTACAACTTATTAATTGACATATACGCATTTTTGGACAAACAGAAGATGAAACATATCAGCGTTGTGTTTTTATGTAATTGGACGAGTTCATTTCTTGGCAGCTAGCTTTGACTTCCTGAAGGTTTTTAAATGACCATGACGTTGCCAGGCAACCAGCAGACAATACAATGAGTAATTGCATGTGGCTGCCTTAACACACCTGCAAATTTGGCACGATTATTATTATTATGATACTTTAAAGGTAGGGTAGGTAAGAATGGAGAAACCAACTCGAGTGCGCTATAATTTGAAAGTACGCAGCTGAAAAAAATCTGCCCCTTCCTTCAGACTTCCTTACAGAGCCCCTCCTCCAACACACACGAACACGCACCAATGATAATGAGGGCACGAGATAAGTTTGTGCGCAGATAGAAGGCTGACAGGCAGGTAGGCCATCCAGTTATTTTAGCCGGGCCGGCTCAGATGATTGGTCGTGCTTTTTACAGCGCCACGGCTCAGATGATTTGGTCGTGTTTTTACCTATCCCCCTGTGTGCCTTGGCAGTCTTAATGGATTTATTGTCAAAGCATTTAATATATTCATTGCTATTGGGATGTTAAGAGCATTCCATGGAATATAACAAAAAGTGTTTCTGAAGTGAATTACCTACCCCACCTTTAAGTACGTTATGCGTGAACTCGGTGTAAAGCTTACCTGTTCTCAGGACAGAGGACAGACATTTGGATTCATCTTGTCAAACGAGAAAGGGTTGTCAGTGGTTGTTACTTTGTCTTTTGGTATGAAGGAGAACCTGTCCCAGGCTCAACTGAAAAACACAACCATTTTCTGCAGCTATGACACTCACCTTAAAGGGCACTAACCGTTTTCTTATTCCCATTGAAAACATACAAATATTTTAAATAAGGTGCATTGAAAAGCAGCAAATCAACTAATATACATTGTTTATCCAAATACAGTAACGGCTAGCGGTAATGTGTTTTAGAACAATTTTAGATGATTATTTTTTAAATTCACATTAATTCTGACAGCAATCAAGTGTTGTAACTGGTATCTGTTGCAGGACTGTTATACATTTCGGGTGGGACGGTCAATTAGACCAAGTGCAATGATTGGACGTGCAACCTGCCTGTCAACCTGTGGCGCTCTGCACTGTTTGTTGTTTCTGTTTATACATGTAATACTATGTTTACGTTCGTATTGATTATTTTGGAGGTAGGGTGGTGTCAATCTTTTGCCAAGTTAATTTAGTGGAAAAATTAAGTTAAATTAGTCAGCTAAAACAAAAAAATAAAATACTTTCAAAGAGAGATTATTTATGGGGCTTTTATTTATTAAATGCATTTCCCCCAGAAAAAAAAAATATGTTTCTGGCCCCTGGAAAAAGCAAGTTGGGGGGTCCCTGTTCCACAGTGACTCTCACCATGGGCTCTGTTCATCTTCTTATTAAAAGCACAATATCTTTGTTAATAGAGAGGTATCACTCTGGTGTTTTTCTATAGAGCTGGTGCTGAAGGTGCGTATCCAGAACCCCAACACTCGGGAGAACGACTTCATCGAGGTAGAGCTGGACCGCCAGGAGCTCACCTACCGTTCCCTTCTGAGGGTCTGTTGTCGCGAGTTGGACATCGGCATGGAACATGTGGAGAAGATCCGAAAGCTGCCCAACACCATGTTGAGAAAGGTACGGGAAAGAAAAATACAGTATGGTAACAGTAAGGTACTTGCTGTGAAATCATGAATTCCTAATGGTCCTCTAGTTTGTTTCATCTACTAAATGAGTTGTTAGTCGGTGAATGTGTAATTTGATTTGAATGTAATCCTTCTTTGCCCAGGACAAAGACGTAGCTCGGCTGCAGGACTTTCAGGAGCTGGAGGTTGTGTTGGAGAAATCCGAGGGCTTGTCTCTGTTCTCTGGTGGGAGCCTGACAGACCGGCCCTGCTACAACATGAAGGCCTCCCGCCTCACCTACTAGAGCCACACAAAGCTAACGCTGGGCTTCTGTAGCTACCCTCAAGCAACCTTTACTAGTTGCCCGCCCAAGTTGCTTGTTACAGCTCTCCCGGCTTTGATGTTGCGCCAATTTAATAACTGGGATTTGTTTTTTCAAGTTCCGTAGCTACTGTCCTCCTCTTGTCCTCCTCGGACCCTCCTGCCGCTTTAGTGTACCCAGCCAGTTGTAAGCAATTACTGATGCATGGTGTCCTAGATTATGAGCGAAAGTATTTGGGCCCCCCCTTCCTCCTTTCTTTATCGCCTCCCACTGCACTTTGTGCCAAGGCTCCAGTGGGACTACAGAGGGAGACATTGGCCTGTCTTCCTTAAAGACTGGACTTGAACTGGACTCAGTTATAGCCTTATTGGACACATCCCTGGCTGTGTTCTACGGTCATGTGTGGACTAAGATAAAACAAAGGATTTGCATTACTCTTACCAATCCATTCATCATCAGTCCACAGAATGGGACACGCTGCACACAGAGACTTGAAGTTCTCAGAAATGACAATAGAGGGGTATCGGATGTTTTAGCTGGCGTACACACTTTCATACATGCTGTAGGCATAAACCTTAGTGTCTTTCCTGCAGAGGGCATCGATTACTGGCCTGATTCCTAAAGTGGAGGTAATCTCACACCAGGCGAGACAACGATATCTCCGGACTAAAAGTACTTCTATTTGCGGAGCACACATTCAATATGCTTTAATCTAAACGAACAAAGGTATGGACACATCTGAGTTTCCCTACATACATTTAAACCATTTAGGCATACAGTGTGGAAAGAGAAAGAATCAGTTTCAAATGCTGTGTCTTTTCATGCGGGAAAGAAACTGATATCTTGGAGATAAATGTGCGGCAACTAATTCTCATTTTATTTTGTACAGTCAGTAGCACTTCTGCTTTGAACGGGACAGTCAGGTTAGGCTCAGTCAGCATAACATTTACACTGTCAACTGTGAAGTATTTATTTCAAAAACTTTTAATTATATTGATTCTTACTGATGAAGCGAGACCATGCGCTTTAGAGTAGCGAGGCTTGAGTCCCGGTAAATGTTGCGTTTGAGGCTTCACTTATAGTATGTTCATTTCAGTTGCTTGTCCTTTTTGTTTTAACTGTGATTAGAATTAAAACCAAAAACTAATCTAGCCAGCAAAGATACTAAATGTAGATTCAACTGTTGCTGCTTCAGATCAGAATGCAGCTGTTGTTTTCCCCCAAGGGAAGAAGGAGAGAACAAGATTTAGAAGTTTGACATTTGGTTGCTTCCTTTTTCCTCCAGCACTAATCAACATTTGTATTGATGCCATCAGTCACATCTTATTTATAAGGTAACTATATTTCCTTAATATATCATAAAATATGTATGGCTTTAGGGCGGTAGTCGAGGCCAGCATAGTGCTAATATATCGTTTCTTTTATTAAAGGACATTTTAAAAGGTAATGTTTTCTATTGGGTAGCTAAATCAGAGGTGTTGCTCTTTTAATGAAATGTATACTGACAAGACGACGTCACTGAAACCCTTGTACTGTACAGTGAGAGTTTAAAAGGTTACGAGGCACAGTCATGTTGTGTCGGAGTGTGATGTTTATGCTGCTTTCATCAACACTTTATATTCCTTTTTAATTCTAAATGCTGGGGCTCATTTATTTTAAGCAGTGCCGTAGCCGGCCACTACACATTTATACATACAATCAAAAACCCAGCGGTAATTGTTTACTGTTCAAATGTATACCCGAAGCTCTTACTGTCATTTGTATGTTTTATGATACATGTTTAATTATTATTTTTTAACCAGTTAGGCCTGTTGTTTTGTGTCAAGACATTCTACTATCGAGCAAGACATAGTTCAGTAATGGGCAGTAAAGTGCTGTTGTTGAAGCTAAGTGCAATGTGGAGGGATGAGAATGTGTTTCAAGGAGGTTGCTGTGAGGAGAAAGGACTACCAAGAGTGCTTATTTTTCTGTTCCTTTCACATGCTTTATTTAGTGAAGTTGTGCTTCACGTTAAAGGCAGGAGCTTGGTTGAGAAAGTGGGTCGCTGAATGGGGAGCAGCATGTCTGAAGTGGGTTTTTATAGGATCTTCTTTGATTCTGGGGAACTGAAATAACTTAACATTGTATTTGTGAGGTTGCTTATTGTTCTAGAAAAAGCAGAATACATTTTGACCTAACCTATGCATTCAGAGTCTGATATTTTTATATACAGTACGTCCCGTGTACCTATTGAAACGATTTTAGGCACTTTTAAACGTGAGTTATTACGTTCTGGAGGCCTGTATCTGTTCTTTGATAAAGCATGGTGAATTACTCTCCTTTGTTTCTGCATATTGTTTATCTGACTAATTGAAGTCATTCTGATTGAATGAGTATTTCACTTAATACTCGCTTTAAATCAAGGGACCAGTTACATGTTTGGTTTGGCTTTTGTTGCAGGTTATTGTCTCTTTTTACCTGCATGTGTGTGTTCTGGATGTTGAGGTCAACTCCCCAAAAATCCATTCAAATGTATGTGTTGAAAGAGCCACTAGAGGGAGCAAAAGTGCAAACATTAACATTAGAATAACCTAATAGGTATGCCACTTAAGTTCATAATCAGAGGATCGCTTTGTTTTGGTTTTTTGTTGCTTGAATTTAATAAAATTCATAAAAGTATTTTAAAACATGCTGTTTGGAAATTGGTCCATTTGATCTCTATACTGAAATGCATCTTCAATACTCTAGATCTCCTTCATAGCGAGTAACAGGTTAAAAGTTACCAAACTTGTTTTTGGCTCAGCATTCAAATGCTTATTGACAATGATACATAAGAAAAATCATCATAAGTAGAAAATGAAAACTGTCAGTGCTGTCACTAATGTCACAAAAACGAAAAAATGATCTTCATTTGTTTGACTATAGCTATTGTGTGAAATATTTCATTATTAAACACCAGAAAAATAGCACAAATACTTTTGAGGTTGTATCTGCACATTGACTCTAATAAACCTTAATAAATGTTTTTGAAATATTTACTTGGATATATAGTATTACAAGTGAGGAAAAATATGAACTATTTGTTGCCTGGATACACATTCTCATTGATTGGCTTCCTATAATCTTCAATTCACCTTATCAGTTTACGACTACTTAGTTCCATAATTATCCAGTAATGTTTTATATTTCAAAGTTCAGTATTCTTCCGTCCAGCTGCAAGTGTTTTCTTTTGACCTTCATTTGCACAACAAGCCATTGTTGTACATTCCGTTTTGAACTTAAATAACCTGACATTTTGTTATGTTCCCTTTGGGATTTAAAGAACATAAACAACCTAAGTAATGGTCGTACTGACACACTCGTGTGTCTTTGGAATCCTTAACCTCTTCAGTGAAAAGAATACAATAGTGTTCATGTGGCGAGCAGATGTTCAGTGCAATCCGGACAGCACAAATATTGCATAATCTGAGCAGAATGGTGCTGAGAAAGTTAAATGTGTGTATCTGTGCAATCTAAATATAGGGCTAAAGGAATTTATGTTGATCATGTTGTATATATTTCAGTGAACGCCCGTGAATCCGTGCTGCATGTCTGTCCATCGGCATGTTGCGTGTCTAGACTGAGGCTGAGGAAGCAGCTTAGGGCCCTGCTGTGGCTGGACGTGTCTCTCTCCTTTGTTCTGGAGTGAGACACTCATAATAAGCTTAGTATGAACAGTCATAACGCTTTCATTGTTTCTGACCAGCTTCCCAGGACTCAGCCATGAGCGAGAGACGTGAGGGAACTACATGGTCCAGAACCCTTAAGAGCATTTTAGAAATGGAGACATAAGGCGACGTTACTCACAGGTACGTGCCTTGCTCGATGAGCTTGGACTCTGGCCCATGGTGCGATATGTGCCTATCTCTAACAGGCATAATGCACAAAGCCAATATACAGGGCTACTTAAAACGACAAGAATGCATGCATTACACCATAGAGAGATTAATGGTGAGGTAAAATACAGTAGCTTATATCCGTATAGTACAGTGGCCTACATCCCACAAACCGAGGAACCCCGTGAGCGATTTATCCCTCTGACTAATTTGTCCGAGTGGAGCTAGGCTTCTGAAACAAAGCTGAGGCACTTGTAAAAAGTGGTCATCCGGAAAATGGAGTGTTACAAGCATTTCTTTCTTGCCTTAGCAGTGCAATCCCGCATACAGCAAATGATAAAAGGAATTGTTCAAACATTTTGGAAAGTGTTGTTATTGGCGGAGAGTTAGATCTGAAGAAGATTGATAGGATATCGTCCTTTCAATATAAGGCTGCAGCCACCAACCTGTTAGCTTAGCATAAAGGTTATTATAACATAGGCCTACTCGTTTCCTATGGGGAAACAGCTATCTTGTTCGGTCTGTAGATAACAAAATCATGCGACCAGCACTTTTAACGCTCATTGACTAACTTGTAATAGTGAATATGTTGTATAATTTGTATACCCATTTACAAGCTTTGCGTCACCATAACCACATATTGTACTATTCTGAAGAAAAAAACATTAGTGAAGACATCACTTGAGTTGCAGCATTGTCTTCTTATCCTCCCCAGAAAGCGAGTGAGAGAAGGTCAAAGTCAAGGTCTGAATGAAGACAATCGTTTTAAAATCTAGAGCTCCTGACATGGGGTTGTCAGAGGCTTTATTCAATATGGGAAATACCCCCATCCCCAGTGTCGGCTATGTTGGGAATGCAGGCTTTTGAGGGGTGAAGGTTAGGGGTGAGAGGGTGGGAAGACCCTGAAAACACAGCTTGACTGTGTTTGTGCATTTGCATTATACATTGAAAGCATGCATATGTATGTGAAATGAGTAGTGTGTAATGTGCACATCCATTTTCTTTTAGTGAATGTTAGTATTGACAGCTAAATAATCTGTGTTTTTTAACTATATCCACTTTATAATTGGTTACTTGTTGTGCATGCATGTGTATGACATTTAATTGTGTGGTGGTGTGTGTGCGTGTGCGCGTATGTGTGTTTTTTGAGACATTGCTCACAGACCATACTAAGACAGGATTCAGCCTGCAGAGCAGTGGGCCTCTTTGGACTCAGCAGGGATGCACAGACTCCATACATACATACACTAACACACACACACACACACGCACACGCACACACACACACACACACACACCCTTTGTTCTTCTAAAGATAACAATTTTTAAGATAAGCTAAAACGGTTTTATTGGGTTAAAGGATGTTCTTAAATAACTTGGTGGGTCTGAGTTGTTGCGTCATTCTTTTTTCGGTTAATTTCACATCCAAACAGACCACCATCCTGTTTGTTTTGTTTTAAAGGCCCCTTTCAACCCTAAAAACTTCCTAGAATTTACTTTTGAAGAAACCTGGTTTTCACAACATGAGATCAAGCTGTTAGGAGACTTCTTACAGCCTCATCGCATTCCCAATGTGGTTTCATGCTCTGCATCACTGAACAATAACAACAATTTAACAACTTTGAAAATGCTTTTAATATACAATAGCTTGTAAATAGGATTTACATTTTTTAAAGAAATGTTCAAACAGGACCTTTGTTGTTTTTAATTCACACAATTTAATATTCCCTTTGTTTGATGGAGTATCAAACACGCTAGCTGGGATGTTTGGTGTATGGAGACATGCTGATCATGTTAGGTTGCACCTGTTATGGATGACAAAAAAAGCTTCTCTTTTTTTCACCTTTAGAGAAAAGGAAGAGATTAGAAATATAGGTGGTTTCACTTAATCACCACCCAAAATGTTTAGCCATTAAAAGTTACAAAATATATATATATATATACACTGAACAAAAATATAAACGCAACACTTTTGTTTTTGCTCCCATTTTTCATCAGATGAACTCAAAGATCTAAAACATTTTCTACATACACAAAATAACCATTTCTCTCAAATATTGTTCACAAATTGGAAAAAATCTGTGATCGTGAGCACTTCTCCTTTGCCGAGATAATCCATCCCACCTCACAGGTGTGGCATATCAAGATGCTGATTAGACAGCATGATTATTGCACATGTGTGCCTTAGGCTGGCCACAATAAAAGGCCACTCTGAAACGTGCATTTTTGCTTTATTGGGGGGGTCTGGGGGGGGTCCGAAAACCAGTCAGTATCTGGTGTGAGGGTTAGGATTAGGGTTAGGGTTAGGGTAATGTTGTGAATCGAGTGGATCGAGTGGCCCATGGTGGTGATGGGGTTATGGTGAGGGTTAGGATTAGGGTTAGACGACGGACACAGGCCACTCGATTCACAACATTACCCTAACCCTAACCCTAATCCTCACACCAGATACTGACTGGTTTTCGGACCCCCCCAGACCCCCCCAATAAA